CGCTCGTCGCACCTACCGATTGAATGACTCGGTGAAAAATTGGGACCGTGAGTCTGTTTGCTTTATTGCGAGTGGATTGATGGGAACTTTTTTAAACCTCGCCATTTAGAGGAAGGTGAAGTCGTAACAAGGTTTCCGTAGGTGAACCTGCGGAAGGATCATTACCACACCTAAAAACTTTCCACGTGAACCGTTTCAACCCAATAGTTGGGGGTCTTACTTGGCGGCGGCTGCTGGCTTTATTGCTGGCGGCTACTGCTGGGCGAGCCCTATCAAAAGGCGAGCGTTTGGACTTCGGTCTGAGCTAGTAGCTTTTTTATTTTAGACCCTTTACTTAATACTGATTATACTGTGGGGACGAAAGTCTCTGCTTTTAACTAGATAGCAACTTTCAGCAGTGGATGTCTAGGCTCGCACATCGATGAAGAACGCTGCGAACTGCGATACGTAATGCGAATTGCAGGATTCAGTGAGTCATCGAAATTTTGAACGCATATTGCACTTCCGGGGTTAGTCCTGGAAGTATGCCTGTATCAGTGTCCGTACAACAAACTTGGCTTTCTTCCTTCCGTGTAGTCGGTGGAGGAGATGCCAGATGTGAAGTGTCTTGCGGTTGGTTTTCGGACCGACTGCGAGTCCTTTTAAATGTACTAAACTGTACTTCTCTTTGCTCCAAAAGTGGTGGCATTGCTGGTTGTGGACGCTGCTATTGTAGCGAGTTGGCGACCGGTTTGTCTGCTGCGGCGTTAATGGAGAAATGCTCGATTCGTGGTATGGTTGGCTTCGGCTGAACAATGCGCTTATTGGGTGATTTTCCTGCTGTGGCGTGATGGACTGGTGAACCATGGCTCTTTAGCTTGGCATTTGAATCGGCTTTGCTGTTGCGAAGTAGAGTGGCGGCTTCGGCTGCCGAGGGTCGATCCATTTGGGAAATGTTGTGTACTTCGGTATGCATCTCAATTGGACCTGATATCAGGCAAGATTACCCGCTGAACTTAAGCATATTAATAAGCGGAGGAAAAGAAACTAACAAGGATTCCCCTAGTAACGGCGAGTGAAGCGGGAAGAGCTCAAGCTTAAAATCTCCGTGCAAGTTTTGCGCGGCGAATTGTAGTCTATAGAGGCGTGATCAGTGTGGGCGCTTGGGGCAAGTTTCTTGGAAGAGGACAGCATGGAGGGTGATACTCCCGTTCATCCCTGAGTTGCTCGTGCGTTCGATCCGGTTTCTTTGAGTCGCGTTGTTTGGGAATTCAGCGCAAAGTAGGTGGTAAATTCCATCTAAAGCTAAATATTTGTGCGAGACCGATAGCGAACAAGTACCGTGAGGGAAAGATGAAAAGAACTTTGAAAAGAGAGTTAAAGAGTACCTGAAACTGCTGAAAGGGAACCGAATCGTTTCCCAGTGTCTATAATCCGTGGTATATTTCATTGGCGAGTGTGTGCGTGCGTGTGCTGTGGCAGCGGCTTTTTTGGCTGCGCTCGGCGTGTGTGCTGTGTGTGCTTGCTGGTGCCCTGTGCTGCGGTGGGACGTCAAGGTCAGTTCGTATGCTGCGGGAAATGGCCGCCGAGGAGGTAGGGCTTACGCTTGCGTTTGTCTGTTATATCTTGGTGGACGAGTAGTCGCGGTTGGGACTGAGGTGCCTACAACGTGTTTTTGAGTGGGCCTGTGTCTCTGTGTGCGCCGTGTGCGGATAGCTTGCTATGCGTGTGTGGTTGTGTGTGGATTGATGTGGGTTTTAACTTGTTGCCGTTCGGGACGTTGACGAAATGGAGCGATTTGACCCGTCTTGAAACACGGACCAAGGAGTCTAACATGTGTGCAAGTGTTAGGGTGTGGAAACCCCAGCGCGAAATGAAAGTGAAGGGCAGCGTAAGTTGTCTGAGGTAGGAAATGCTGCGGGCTTCGGTCTGCGGTGTGGCACTATCGACCGATCATGAACCTTCGTGGTGAAAGATTTGAGTTTGAGCACATATGTTGGTACCCGAAAGATGGTGAACTATGCCTGAGTAGGGTGAAGCCAGGGGAAACTCTGGTGGAAGCTCGTAGCGATTCTGACGTGCAAATCGATCGTCAAACTTGGGTATAGGGGCGAAAGACTAATCGAACCATCTAGTAGCTGGTTCCCTCCGAAATTTCCCTCAGGATAGCAGCAACTTATTACGATAGTTTTATGAGTAAAGCGAATGATTAGAGATTCGGGGAAGAAACTTCCTCGACCTATTCTCAAACTTTAAATCTGTAAGACCTGCAGTTTCTTAATTGAAACTTGTGGAAATGTGAATATCAGAGTGCTAGTGGGCCCATTACGGGTTAGTCTTCTTCTGGCGATGGCGGAGATGAAACGCAAAGCCAGAGTTAAGAGTGCCCAAAATGCTCGTCTCCACTTAGATACACATAAAAGGTGTGGGTTTACATTGAGACAGCAGGAGCGTGATCCATGGGAATTGGAATTCGTTAGAGAGGTGTGTAAACAACTCCACTGGCGAATGTAAAACTGAGCCCTGAAAATGGATGGCGCTAAAGCCGGGCTACTTTATACTTTGCCGTTAGCGCGATAGCATTTATAATGTACGCGTTAATGAGTAGGAGGGCGTGAAGGTCGTGAAGAAGCTCGTGGCGTGAGCCTGAGTGAAACGGCCTTTAGTGCAGATCTTGGTGGTAGTAGCAAATATTCAAATGCGAACTTTGAAGACTGAAGTGGAGAAAGGTTCCGTGTGATCAGTAATTGGACACGGGTGAGTCGATCCTAAGAGATAGGATAATTCCGTTTGAAAGCTGGGCTGTTTGAGGCGTGGGGTTCGTCCTTGCGTTTTGTATGCAGCCTCGTGTATCGAAAGGGAATCAGGTTAATATTCCTGAACCGAGACGTGGATAATATGTGGTAACACAACCGACCCAGGAGACGCTAGCGTGTGCCCAGGGAAGAGTTCTCTTTTCTTTTTAACAAGCATATCCTACCTTGGAAACGGATTATCCGGCGATAAGGAGGATGCCTTGGCAAAGCACTTTACTTTTTGAAGTGTCCTGCGCGCCCACGACAGCCCTTGAAAATCCTGGCTAGAGATTTATTCGCACCCTCGTTCGTACTCATAACCGCATCAGGTCTCCAAGGTTAGCAGCCTCTAGTTGATAGAAGAATGTAGATAAGGGAAGTCGGCAAAATAGATCCGTAACTTCGGGAAAAGGATTGGCTCTGAGGGTTGAGCCTAGGGGTCTTTTTGGAGAACTTGTGGCGGCCTACGTTGGGCGGCGTCTGGACCTTTCGGGGACCGGATGCGGCCTG